AACATTTTTTGTAAAAAAAAAGTTTGTTGTTGTAGTACACGCCCTAGAACGATGAAATCCGGAAAAAAATGTATGCCATCCGATTTCTACACTTCCAACTTAAAGTTCTATATAGGTTTTTATCGTGCACAAGATCGTCCGATAGCACTTATATATCATTTTATATATACGGCCATAATAACATTTTTTGTACAAAAAAAGTTTGTTGTTGTAGTACACACCCTAGAACGATGAAATCCGGAAAAAAATGTATGCCATCCGATTTCTACACTTCCAACTTAAAGTTCTATATAGGTTCTTATCGTGCACAAGATCGTCCGATAGCACTTATATATCATTTTATATATACGGCTATAGTAACATTTTTTGTAAAAAAAAAGTTTGTTGTTGTAGTACACACCCTAGAACGATGAAATCCGGAAAAAAATGTTTGCCATCCGATTTCTACACTTCCAACTTAAAGTTCTATATAGGTTTTTATCGTGCACAAGATCGTCCGATAGCACTTATATATCATTTTATATATACGGCCATAATAACATTTTTTGTACAAAAAAAGTTTGTTGTTGTAGTACACACCCTAGAACGATGAAATCCGGAAAAAAATGTATGCCATACGATTTCTACACTTTCCAACTTAAAGTTCTATATAGGTTTTTATCGTGCACAAGATCGTCCGATAGCAGTTATATATCATTTTATATATACGGCTATAGTAACATTTTTTGTAAAAAAAAAGTTTGTTGTTGTAGTACACACCCTAGAACGATGAAATCCGGAAAAAAATGTATGCCATACGATTTCTACACTTCCAACTTAAAGTTCTATATAGGTTTTTATCGTGCACAAGATCGTCCGATAGCAGTTATATATCATTTTATATATACGGCTATAGTAACATTTTTTGTAAAAAAAAAGTTTGTTGTTGTAGTACACACCCTAGAACGATGAAATCCGGAAAAAATGTATGCCATCCGATTTCTACACTTCCAACTTAAAGTTCTATATAGGTTTTTATCGTGCACAAGATCGTCCGATAGCACTTATATATCATTTTATATATACGGCCATAATAACATTTTTTGTACAAAAAAAGTTTGTTGTTGTAGTACACACCCTAGAACGATGAAATCCGGAAAAAAATGTATGCCATCCGATTTCTACACTTCCAACTTAAAGTTCTATATAGGTTTTTATCGTGCACAAGATCGTCCGATAGCACTTATATATCATTTTATATATACGGCTATAGTAACATTTTTTGTAAAAAAAAAGTTTGTTGTTGTAGTACACACCCTAGAACGATGAAATCTGGAAAAAAATGTATGCCATCCGATTTCTACACTTCCAACTTAAAGTTCTATATAGGTTTTTATCGTGCACAAGATCGTCCGATAGCACTTATATATCATTTTATTTATACGGCCATAATAACATTTTTTGTACAAAAAAAGTTTGTTGTTGTAGTACACACCCTAGAACGATGAAACTCGGAAAAAAATGTATGCCATCCGATTTCTACACTTCCAACTAAAAGTTCTATATAGGTTTTTATCGTGCACAAGATCGTCCGATAGCAGTTATATATCATTTTATATATACGGCTATAGTAACATTTTTTGTAAAAAAAAAGTTTGTTGTTGTAGTACACACCCTAGAACGATGAAATCCGGAAAAAAATGTATGCCATCCGATTTCTACACTTCCAACTTAAAGTTCTATATAGGTTTTTATCGTGCACAAGATCGTCCGATAGCAGTTATATATCATTTTATATATATGACCATAGTAACATTTTTTTAATGTTTTTTATTAAAAGGCATTCTGTAACGATATAATCCCAAATATATTTATATTTTATCAGATTTGTTCCTTTCCACATTTATACACATATTTTAATTGATCAAAAATATTTTTTTTAATGTAAATCATGAAAATCAATTTTTTTGAATTTTTTCCACGTGCATAAACACATATTGAAAATGTAAATAATGAAAACGAGTTTTTGCGTCTTTTCCACGTGCAGAAACACATATTTGTAAACAAAAATAACTCACCACACCAAAAAAAATGTTTATTTTGATAAAACAGCTGTTACGGTTTGTTTTATTTTTCGTCGGGTTGTTTTCTTTATGTGCGTGGAAAAAGTCGAAAAGTCGGAAAAAGTCGAAAAGTCGAAAAGTCGACCATTTATAAAGTACTAAAAGTCGAAAAGTCTAAAAGTCGACTTTTAAATAAATGAAAAAGGTCGAAAAGTCGAAAAATCGACTTTTCATAAAATGGAAAAAGTCGAAAGGTCGAAAAGTCGACTTTTAACTAAATGCAAAAAGTCGAAAAGTCGAAAAGTCGACTTTTTGTTTCAACTATAGAACCCTAATAAACAGTGTTACTATTATAATGATTGAAAAATATAGCCAATTGTAATTAAAAGTAAAATTTTTCTTAAAATTAATAGAAAGAAAAGGCCAAATTTATTAAAGTTTATAAAAAATACTTAACATTTCATTTTTTATTGACAAAAACTAAGAAAATTATAATTTACTGTTATTTGTTAAAAAAAACATCTCAATCTGGTAACTTTGTTTCTAGCAAAGAGAACTAAAGATCATACAAATTCACGGTATACCTAACAAGGTACCAGCACTTGAGAGCAACAGCACGATTGTCAATTTTTTTATATGGAGTTTGACAAACGTACGGTTTAAGCCTGTATACAAGTCTATGTATAAAAAATTGTAAAGAATGATCAGCTGGGCTAGCGATGTCACCTTGTATTCCGTACACCCAGTACAAGTTTTTACTATTGATTTTCAACTTCTCTGTCCCCCCACAACTAAGGCTACACGATGCAACTTGTTAGTAAGTTATTTACAAAATGTTGCAAGTTTATAAAAATCCCCGGCAAACTTAACAAGGTCAACCATTGAACAGTGTTAAAACTCCAAACTCAATTATTATTTAATGTTTACAATCTACTCTTAGAACCAGTTTTCAGGTTAGGAGTTTCGGATTAGTTATATTTGTTCGTTAGTTTAAACCTGGCATGGAAAATTTAAATTTTCAAATAGTACTAACTTTTAACAAAAAGAGTAGGTTTTAAAGTACTAAATTAATTTTCTGTTAGACTGACTACTGACTAGACTTTAGACCAGACAAGGCAATATAGACTAGACAATAGACTAGACCATATACTTCACTATAGACTAGACTATAGACTAGACTATAGACTAGACTATAGACTAGACTATAGACTAGGCTATAGACTAGACTATAGACTAGACTATAGACTAGACTAGGCTATAGACTAGACTATAGACTAGACTATAGACTAGACTATAGACTAGACTATAGACTAGACTATATACTACACTATAGACTAGACTATAGACTAGACTATAGACTAGACTATAGACTAGACTATAGACTAGACCAGCGGTTCCCACCTTTTTTTACTTCGCGGACCCCTTGAGGAATTTATTTAATTTCACGGACCCCTATACATATTTTGATATCTTATTGTTATAAATAATTGTTCATCCGAAAATTGTCTTAGTCCTGGTCCATAAACCCTATAAAATATTCCCGTACATTGAGAATATTTAGTATTTCGGAGATGTTTTCAATTGCATGGTTTTAAATATAGAATGACTTCTAACATGTTGTTTAATTTTATGATCGTGAGAGCTTTCATGTGCATTTCTCGTCAAGGTAGCGAAAAGGTTTCTTTATAAAGTATTGTCGACATGTGCTTAAAGAGTCATGTTTCTAAATTTGTTTGCGATTGCATAGGAGTGAGCTGAGTATGTAAGCTAAGTTTTTAGGAAAATATGTGAAAGTTAGCCTTCTTCGATGTTGCTGCGGAATGCGTTATCCACATAAAATATGACCTGAACTCTTTGCGAATGTACTATGAATTTGTATCTTAAATTTGAATTTGAAAATACCTACGAATTATTTTACTGCGTGGTTTTGACTATTTACGCAAAACGCTATGAATTTTCTGATGTTGATTTAATAATATTGGACAACAAAATGAAGTTAAAATCTGTGTATCACGTCGGAATGGAATATTTATATTTAAAATTAACTTAATTAATTTATGAAAAATTTGGAGATATTTTTAATATTTTCTAATATATAGATAATATTTTTTTTTCATGATTTTTTTCGTTCGTCTTCGCGGACCCCCTAGGATTTTGCTACGGACCACTGGGGGTCCGCGGACCCCCTTTTGGGAACCGTTGGACTAGACTATAGACTAGACTATAGACTAGACTATAGACTAGACTATATACTACACTATAGACTAGACTATAGACTAGACTATAGACTAGACTATAGACTAGACTATAGACTAGACTATAGACTAGACTAGACTAGACTAGACTAGACTATAGACTAGACTATAGACTAGACTATAGACTAGACTATAGACTAGACTATAGACTAGACTATAGACTAGACTATAGACTAGACTATAGACTAGACTATAGACTAGACTATAGACTAGACTATAGACTAGACTATAGACTAGACTATAGACTAGACTATAGACTAGACTATAGACTAGACTATAGACTAGACTATAGACTAGACTATAGACTAGACTATAGACTAGACTATAGACTAGACTATAGACTAGACTATAGACTAGACTATAGACTAGACTATAGACTAACTATAGACTAGACTATAGACTAGACTATAGACTAGACTATAGACCCCTTTAGAATCCAGTCTTTTAGTTTAAAACATTTGTTTTTATTATCGTTAACCTTGTCATATAATTTATTTAACATCCTACATTATTTAACATTGCCCTGTCTACTCAACACTGTTAACTAACTGAGTGATGTTTATTAATAACATTTTATAATTCTTCCTCTCTTTTTCACTCTCTCTCAAATGGTAGCAGTGTTGGCCTCTTCATTATTATTGTTACAGACAAAACACACAACAGAAAAAACAGCAAATATTGTTGTGACTGTAAAACGAACGAAATCACCAAAGACTCAGTGCCTTCTTAGTTGTTCTGCTACGTGCGGTGATCATTGTTGTGAATTCTTCTTTGAAACGAAGAAGTTTTATTTTTGAAAATTTTTATTTGAAAAATAAAAAAAAATCAAACAAACAAACGAGTGTTGAACAGCGTTACTGAAGTAAACAATAGCGTTAAATTTTTATATAAAAAGCAAATAAATTTTAAACAAATTTTGAGAAATTGCTAAAAAAATATTTAACTTGAAATTTAAAAAAATAAAACGTATTTAAAATAATATATAAAAACATTTGATTTATTGTGCAAATTAAATTTATTTTAAAATAAATTTTGTTTTAAAAGAAAGAAGAAAAAAATAATAGATTAAGGTCAGTGTACAAAATTAAAAAAAAAACGTATTATTTATATAAAACAAAGTAAATATTTTTTATTTTATATTATTTCTTAATACTTCATTTAAGAAAAAGAAAGTAAAAAGAAAAAATAAAATAAATTATTTTATAAAAAAAAAAATAAATAAAAATAAAAAGCCAATATTTTTTTAAATTAAAAAAAAAATAATTAAAAAAATTAACCACTAAAATAAATTTTTAAAATAGAAACAAAATTATATTTATAAAATAATTTTTAAAATTTATCGGATTTAAATTAAATAGTTAATCAAAAGTCAAACAAAAATTCAAATTCAATATTTTAATTAAAAAATTAAAAAAAAAAATTTAGTTAAAATTTGTGAAAAAATAACTGAAATTGATAATTTTTTTTTTTAAAATCAAAATTATCGACACTTTTTTTAAAAGAAAAAGATTTATGGTTATTTTTCTAAATTAAACTTATCGAGAAGTTTAATAAAAGAACAATAAAAAGTGAATGTTATCGAAATTTTATTAGAAACAATAGTTATTTCGGAAACAAAGTTATCGATAAATTTTAAAAAATATAATTATCGGAATGTAGCTATTGAAAATTTAAGCAGGTAATCGCTAATTAGATGGACAGATGGATAGAGGATAGATAGATAGATAGATAGATAGATAGATAGATAGATAGATAGATAGATAGATAGATAGATAGATAGATAGATAGATAGATAGATAGATAGATAGATAGATAGATAGATAGATAGATAGATAGATAGATAGATAGATAGATAGATAGATAGATAGATAGTTAGAAAGATAGATAGATAGATAGATAGATAGATAGATAGATAGATAGATAGATAGATAGATAGATAGATAGATAGATAGATAGATAGATAGATAGATAGATAGATAGATAGATAGATAGATAGATAGATAGATAGATAGATAGATAGATAGATAGATAGATAGATAGATAGATAGATAGATAGATAGATAGATAGATAGATAGATAGATAGATAGATAGATAGATAGATAGATAGATAGCTAGATAGATAGATAGATAGATAGATAGATAGATAGATAGATAGATAGATAGATAGATAGATAGATAGATAGATAGATAGATAGATAGATAGATAGATAGATAGATAGATAGATAGATAGATAGATAGATAGATAGATAGATAGATAGATAGATAGATAGATAGATAGATAGATAGATAGATAGATAGATAGATAGATAATAGATAGATAATAGATAGATAGATAGATAGATAGATAGATAGATAGATAGATAGATAGATAGATAGATAGATAGATAGATAGATAGATAGATAGATAGATAGATAGATAGATAGATAGATAGATAGATAGATAGATAGATAGATAGATAGATAGATAGATAGATAGATAGATAGATAGATAGATAAAACAAGTAAATATACTATTTCTTAAATTTTTCTTAAATTTAATTAATTTACATTATGAATCCCCTCTCGTCATGCTCTACATATTTAATTTGAATTTAATTTTCTTGAACCTGCAGTAAAAATTAATTAAATTTTTGAAAAATTTTCTTTAATTTAATTTTGTTTTTTAAATCTTTTTAATTCTTTTGTTGCATTTCTGTTGACAATAAATAATTGTTTGTGTGTGTCGTTTTTCTATATTTTTTTTTTTTTGAAATGAACAAGAAAATATCTCAACAGTTTGGTCAGTTATTTATAACAAGGTGTAATCCACAGTGGTTGACAAAATTAACAACACACTTTCGTTTTTTCTTTTTTTCTGCTAAAAGAAACAGAAGCAGAGAAAAAGTATATAATTTAAAAGAAATTTCCCATAAAATGGTTTTTGTTTTGATTTGTAGAGATTTTGGCTAAATTCCAACATTTGTTACTTTCTGAAATTTGTCTATTCTTTATTTCTTTTATGTTAGTCTTTGGTAGATTTTTAAAATTTTTAAAGAATTCTATAGAAAATTTAAGTAATACAATAACTTTTTGGAAATAATATAAAATTGTTAAAAGTTTTGCCTAAACTTTTAGCATTCACTGTATTCTCAAATAAATCTATTCTATTTATGTTTTTACAATAAGTAGGTATGTGTGGTTATAGGCATGCTTATAAGTATGCATATTTATACATATAAACTTACATACATGCTTACATTGTATGCATAACGATTTGTCACTTTTAAAATTTGTAAAGTGTTAAACTGCCACAACCCGTATCAGGAATGGAAAGTTCAATACATTAGTAATTTTTTCAGTATTTTTGACATTCTACTCGATAGTCTAGTCTGTAGTCTAGGCTGTAGTCTAGTATATAGTTTAGTCTCTAGTATAGTCTGTTGTCTAGTCTAGTTAGTCTATAGTCTAGTCTATAGTCTAGTCTATAGTCTAGTCTATAGTCTAGTCTATAGTCTAGTCTATAGTCTAGTCTATAGTCTAGTCTATAGTCTAGTCTATAGTCTAGTCTATAGTCTAGTCTATAGTCTAGTCTATAGTCTAGTCTATAGTCTAGTCTATAGTCTAGTCTATAGTCTAGTCTATAGTCTAGTCTATAGTCTAGTCTATAGTCTAGTCTATAGTCTAGTCTATAGTCTAGTCTATAGTCTAGTCTATAGTCTAGTCTATAGTCTAGTCTATAGTCTAGTCTATAGTCTAGTCTATAGTCTAGTCTATAGTCTAGTCTATAGTCTAGTCTATAGTCTAGTCTATAGTCTAGTCTATAGTCTAGTCTATAGTCTAGTCTATAGTCTAGTCTATAGTCTAGTCTATAGTCTAGTCTATAGTCTAGTCTATAGTCTAGTCTATAGTCTAGTCTATAGTCTAGTCTATAGTCTAGTCTATAGTCTAGTCTATAGTCTAGTCTATAGTCTAGTCTATAGTCTAGTCTATAGTCTAGTCTATAGTCTAGTCTATAGTCTAGTCTATAGTCTAGTCTATAGTCTAGTCTATAGTCTAGTCTATAGTCTAGTCTATAGTCTAGTCTATAGTCTAGTCTATAGTCTAGTCTATAGTCTAGTCTATAGTCTAGTCTATAGTCTAGTCTATAGTCTAGTCTATAGTCTAGTCTATAGTCTAGTCTATAGTCTAGTCTATAGTCTAGTCTATAGTCTAGTCTATAGTCTAGTCTATAGTCTAGTCTATAGTCTAGTCTATAGTCTAGTCTATAGTCTAGTCTATAGTCTAGTCTATAGTCTAGTCTATAGTCTAGTCTATAGTCTAGTCTATAGTCTAGTCTGTAGTCTAGGTTGTTGTCTAGGCTGTAGTCTAGGTTTTTGTCTAGGCTGTAGTCTAGTATATAGTTTAGTCTATAGTTTAGTCTGTTGTCTAGTCATAGTTTAGTCTATAGTCTAGTCCATAGTCTAGTCTATAGTCTAGTCTATAGTCTAGTATTAGTCTAGTCTAGTCTATAGTCTAGTCTATAGTCTATTCTAGTCTATAGTCTAGTCTATAGTCTAGTCTATAGTCTAGTCTATAGTCTAGTCTATAGTCTAGTCTATAGTCTAGTCTATAGTCTAGTCTATAGTCTAGTCTATAGTCTAGTCTATAGTCTAGTCTATAGTCTAGTCTATAGTCTAGTCTATAGTCTAGTCTATAGTCTAGTCTATAGTCTAGTCTATAGTCTAGTCTATAGTCTAGTCTATAGTCTAGTCTATAGTCTAGTCTATAGTCTAGTCTATAGTCTAGTCTATAGTCTAGTCTATAGTCTAGTCTATAGTCTAGTCTATAGTCTAGTCTATAGTCTAGTCTATAGTCTAGTCTATAGTCTAGTCTATAGTCTAGTCTATAGTCTAGTCTATAGTCTAGTCTATAGTCTAGTCTATAGTCTAGTCTATAGTCTAGTCTATAGTCTAGTCTATAGTCTAGTCTATAGTCTAGTCTATAGTCTAGTCTATAGTCTAGTCTATAGTCTAGTCTATAGTCTAGTCTATAGTCTAGTCTATAGTCTAGTCTATAGTCTAGTCTATAGTCTAGTCTATAGTCTAGTCTATAGTCTAGTCTATAGTCTAGTCTATAGTCTAGTCTATAGTCTAGTCTATAGTCTAGTCTATAGTCTAGTCTATAGTCTAGTCTATAGTCTAGTCTATAGTCTAGTCTATAGTCTAGTCTATAGTCTAGTCTATAGTCTAGTCTATAGTCTAGTCTATAGTCTAGTCTATAGTCTAGTCTATAGTCTAGTCTATAGTCTAGTCTATAGTCTAGTCTAGTCTATAGTCTAGTCTATAGTCTAGTCTATAGTCTAGTCTATAGTCTAGTCTATAGTCTAGTCTATAGTCTAGTCTATAGTCTCTAGTCTATAGTCTAGTCTATAGTCTAGTCTATAGTCTAGTCTATAGTCTAGTCTATAGTCTAGTCTATAGTCTAGTCTATAGTCTAGTCTATAGTCTAGTCTATAGTCTAGTCTATAGTCTAGTCTATAGTCTAGTCTATAGTCTAGTCTATAGTCTAGTCTATAGTCTAGTCTATAGTCTAGTCTATAGTCTAGTCTATAGTCTAGTCTATAGTCTAGTCTATAGTCTAGTCTATAGTCTAGTCTATAGTCTAGTCTATAGTCTAGTCTATAGTCTAGTCTATAGTCTAGTCTATAGTCTAGTCTATAGTCTAGTCTATAGTCTAGTCTATAGTCTAGTCTATAGTCTAGTCTATAGTCTAGTCTATAGTCTAGTCTATAGTCTAGTCTATAGTCTAGTCTATAGTCTAGTCTATAGTCTAGTCTATAGTCTAGTCTATAGTCTAGTCTATAGTCTAGTCTATCTATAGTCTAGTCTATAGTAGTCTAGTCTAGTCTATAGTCTAGTCTATAGTCTAGTCTATAGTCTAGTCTATAGTCTAGTCTATAGTCTAGTCTATAGTCTAGTCTATAGTCTAGTCTATAGTCTAGTCTATAGTCTAGTCTATAGTCTAGTCTATAGTCTAGTCTATAGTCTAGTCTATAGTCTAGTCTACAGTCTAGTCTATAGTCTAGTCTATAGTCTAGTCTATAGTCTAGT